ATACATTGCTGACCGTTGGTCGGTATTCTCCGAAATCAATTTTTGTCCCCCTAGAGAGAGCCGTTTTACAGATCAAAAAGCGGAATTCCGTCCAATGTGGCAACCCTGGCGATAAGTCGGAGGCTAATAAACCATTCAAATATCCCATTTTTATGTTAGAGTTATAGAGTAACCAGTCACATGTCAGTTGGTTTTAGGGTACTTTTTACCATCTTATCTTGGAACAACCTTTGTGAATGGTACAAAGAAAAAATATATTCACATAACCCCTCTAGATACTACCAATCTTAATCTAGCATTAAGTGACTTGAATTAAAATAAAATGAAAGTCAGTAAGTCTATTTAAAAAGTAGTGCATTAAATACGTGGTGAAAGTGACTTTTTCTTCTAGGATTGCCCCCCCCCCCCGGGGCCTAACAGAGTTACTTTCCTTTTCGCAACTACGCGGTTATTTTCCTATTCGCAAAATAAAATGACGCTTTACCACTCATATCATAAATAACTATTTTACATTTTTCGTGGCCATAAGAAACATTTGGGTACTGTAATGTAAACAAAACACAGAGGTACAGACTTTGGTATAATTTAAGAAATATTAAAACTTGTTTTTAATGTGGTTAATTTTTTCTTTTCATATTATGTATTAATTTTCATATATAAACTTTCTAGAACAGTAGACATTGATGAACAATTACGTTCGATTCGCCAACCCTTGCCTGGTGATAGTTGGAGACGCCGTCGTCGCTGCCGCCCTCCTGTTGCGGCCCCATCAGCATGATCTTGGGGTTGCCCACCATTCCGGTGCCGGGGGGAATAATGCGCCGGAGGCTGAACAGGCCGACGTACACCGTGCGGTTGGCCACCACCGCCACGGGGCCCTCCGCCCGCTGCAGCGCCTCCATGTTGTGGCGCTGCCACTCGGACGCGTACACCGTCTTGATCCGAGCGGCCGCGTCCTATTCAACCACTCAATGGATGTTAGTCAAATAATAGTTATGCAACAAGGGTTTTTAATGTCGAGTGACGGCCCTTGGAACGGGATAAAGGTTTCGTTTTTAAGATATTTATACATAATGTGACGATGCCCATGCCGTCCTTCAACTTATTTTTACTCCTAATTTAATTATTTATTTGGATAGCTTGATTTTTTGTAATGATTCGCCGTCACTATACTTACCCTCTCAGGGCCGCATCAACTTCGTCCGTGTGGGCTGAAAATTGGCCGCTCATACGAGACTACGGCTGGGGAATACCTTTGTTTACGATTACAATTTATTGGTTATTATTATTTAAATGATAACATCATTAATGAATCGAAATTACAGCGACATGAAATGTCAGCTGCCAATCATTCTTTTCAGAAATAGAAATTTTGTTTCTTTTGTAATTCAACGTTAACAAATTTAATCTTCTTTTACTATTTCCCCCTAGTTGAGCTGGCCATCGTAAATTTATTGGTATTAAGTTTCAAAATTTGTTTCATTTAATTTAATTTCCATTGAAGGTCTTGGCCTTGAACATTCAATACTTTTTTAAAGTCTTTATGAAAATTCTTAACAGATTTACTTTTCTGTGCGTAGATGAACTGCTCTCTTGGCGGTGCGTCAAGCATTCCATTCCCGATCATCCACTGAGCCGTCCTTACATCATTTTCTCGATGTCATGCACTTATGTTTTTATCACATATGTCTGCTCGACTTAATTAACTTTGTCGATATAAGTCACATCCCACGACCTTATTGGTGTCTTCTTAGGTACGTTCTGAACTTTTAAAAACTTAAAAAAAAATTTGTTTGCACACAGCATCCGTCAGTTGCTGGTATGAAGTTGTGCCCTGATGTTGAAATGAAACATTTATACAAAAAAATAAGAGTACCTTGCATTAGAAAATAATTACAGTAAACATTACAAAATGTTTTGAGACAATAAATTGACAAATTACAAAGAGAAATGTTAAGAAATAGTAATTCACATTAAATTTCTTGTGATGGTGACAATATTTAAATGGATGAAGTGTTATCTTTGTAAGTAATAGTAACACTTGCATAATTGAGATGTGGGTACAATTAATTCGCATGATAGATAAACGTGATGCCCGAGGAGCGTAATTGTCAATTTTGGTTTTGACGTCTATCCATGTATGAAATATAATAAGACTTAAGGGCTTGAAGAACCTGATGACGGAGGTGATGTGGACTGTAAATTGACAGATGAAATCCGTTGCACATCAGACACCGTCGTCCTTCCATAACTAAGTTTAAAGCACTGAGGTGGCAGAGTTACGCAATGAGATGCAAGTCTGCGCGTGAGACGCCGCAGTAACGTCGTCAGTCTGCGCTTGTGACGTATTGTAGTACCGTAAGCGGACGCTTCCCAGAAGGGCTGTGATGATTGAAAGCAATCTTGCACAAGCTTGCTTGCACATCCAATTATAAAACGCTTTACATAAATAATTTTTAACGAATCCTGACCTGATGTGCGTGTCGATATTATATAAATATCTTAATAAACATATGTGATTAATTTTATAAATAAGTAGCTTGCATGAACAGACTTATTTTAAAATTTTGATTTAAGGAACAAATGTCATAGACTCCGAGCATACGCGGAACTTATGCAATGCTCAAAGTATCAGAGATTTCAACGAACATGTGACCAACACCATTCTCTTACTCGTCCGTCACACAATCCTGTAACAAAATGTAATCAAAAACTTTGAAAACTTTTTTGAAAATTTTGAAAATGTCCCAGAAGCTTTATGTAACTTACCCCCCAATTAAAATATCGGTTTCAAATTCACGGGGCCGCGACATCAGACAGATCGATTACGGAATATTAATTTTGGAGATAATTGGCTGAACGATTTAGCCACTAGCGTTGATCACTGACCGACGGACAAGTGCACGGAAAGATGGACAGACCTTTTGTTGACAATCGATTTTTCGCACAGCATTACATAACTTTCTATTTAGCGAAAAAGTAACTAGTGGTGCTACAACAGCACATCCCTCGCGATATTTCTGTCTTCTGTACACATACAATACCTCGCGATATTTCTGTCTTTTGTCTCTTCAACTACCATTTGAAAAATTCTTTAACAAATGAAGCTTGAAAAAGACATAGAATTTTTAAATTCAAATGCTGAACTTGTTTTCCATAAACGTATTGTAGATAGAACTAAATGATTGTAATAGAAGTAATAAAGGTTGTCTCACAGTATTATTTATTTCATTGTCAGTATATCGTGTATCTGGTTTCCGAAATAAACTAAAAAGCCGGCAACTAGGTCGGTGGCGAATCTAGCCATCCAGCAGGGGTTGAGCACAGCCCCGTCCGTTCGTCTGTCTGGTGTACGTGAACAACACTAGCGGTTAAATTATACGTAGGATTTTACCAATCTAAAACTGTCAGTTGATCTGGCTAACTCAAAGCTCTGCAATTTTGTTAAATATTAATTAATTTTTAAGAATACTTTACATGAAGCACCTGGAATGTTTTCAAAATTTTCTCAAAATGGCTCCATATTATTTCTGTAAAATTCTTGTAAGAATAGAGTTAAATTCAGTTGTAAAAGTGGCGTAGGTACAATTTTTACTATTAACTCTGAATTTACGAAAATTGTAAAACTTTGAATATTTCTAGGCGTCTTCCTACAACTAAAAAATTGATGATAGACATTTTTCCTTCACATGAAATTTGTCCTACATAATTATTTCTTTGTTTAGTGTCATGTACATTTTTTGTATTTTTTAGTAGTTTTCGCGCAATATTGCATGCAATGGGTGCAATATTAGAAAATAACAAAACAAAATTATCCCCAAACGATTTTTTTAAATTTTTGGTAGGGATTTTGCTGAATGCACTATGTAAAATGACGTAAAGATCATTCTGTTCTATTCTTCTGTTTTTTTTCAATAATTAAATAAAATTTGCATCTCTCTCGCATTTTTAATATTTACATTATCGACGATTTGTTAACACTGTTGTATGATATTGTAGGCTTTCCCGGCCAGAGTCATGATCTGGGCTGACCGGGTGACACCGCGTCGAAAGCTGGGGTGCCGGACACGATATGTCGGTGGAAACGTCATCACAGCCTTCGACTCGGCGTCACCCGGACAGCCTTTATCACAACTTTGTTGCATTTATGAAAACGTCCTGAAAATGGAGTGTTATAAAAATTCTCGAAAACTCATTACTTTCCTCTAAAAATAAGCTTCAAATTTTGCATTTACAGAGTCGCTGAAACGCCATTTTTTCGAAATCCGCTGCAAAGTTTTTTATTTTTTTATCGAGTAGTTCTAAATAAAACTACATAACATAAATTTTTCTTTGATGCATTTTTTTTCTATAAAAATTTAAAAAATGTATTTTTTGGATATATCTAATGAAGTCTGGTTGAGGCAAAACCGAAAAGGTAGCCAAAACGAAACAATGGCAGGATTTTCGTCACTGACTTAGTAGCTGGATCCAATTCAGTCACTGTCTGAAGAAGAATTCTAGCAATTGGCTGCTCTGATCGGTAGTTTCCGTGGTTTGTTCCCTGGCAAATGCCAGAGCAGTACCCAAACAAACGGACCACGGATCGTTCTGTATTTCCATCTCCTTCCTTGTCCTATCCTCAACACTCACTTATACGTAACAATTACATACAATACCCTGCCACAGAAGTTGTGAGACCAGTCGAGAGCTCAGAGCTTGTCCCGACAAGAGCGGTGCCCCGCTGATAAGTTATATCTAATTGAGGAAAAAAACTAAAAAGCGGGCAATTAGATCGGCTCCGGATCTAGCCATCCAGCGTGGCCAGTATCTATTATCACAGCCCCCTGCCGTGATAATAGATACTGACTAGGATTACGGAACTAATGTCCTAAGCAGTTCACACTCCAGGAAACACTAATCCATCATTCGATTTCGCCCACAAGGTGAGAAAGCGTCATTTACACCTAAACGACACTACCTGCATCGTGTCAATCTCCTTCTCGTACGATGGGGTGACGATGAAGCCCGTGAAAGATCCGGCGATGGTGTTTCCCATGAAGAAACTCAAGATGCTCATCCACACCAACACGAGCCTGAGGCGGCCCATGAAAGCGCCGGTGAGGAACGTCTTGACGATCTCGAACAATGCGTACCCGACGCTCCACCGATACCCCAGCACGGCCACCGCCAAGAAGAACAGGAAGCACGCGCCGATCGCCACCCAGATGGAGTAGTAAATTGTCAAGAGCGCGCTCTGCTGAATGGGCGGAGCTTTTCGAACCAGCATGCACAAGTTTTCGATGTCGTGAGGATAGAGGAAACTTAAATTCTTGACCATTAATACGTTTTGGTATCCTGGTTCATTGCCAATATCTATTTTTCCTTTTTCTAAAAGTGAATATTGTTGTTGTGAGGATGGGCCGGTAGCAACACAATTTTCTCTGTAGCCCAAATGCTTAGCTATTAGTAACATGGCTTGATCGTGACCCCCGATGTTGTTTTCCCAGTCATCCGAACAGAATGTTCTGGTTTGCCTCTCTCCTAACCTTCCTATGTACACAACTTCTTTTATTTTTTTTTCTTGCGCTTTCTCTTGTTTGTTATGGATATCTGGAATAAGAGGGTGTACTTCTACTGGAGAACCGAGCAACCAGCAACACATGCAAAAATAGTAAGCCAATGTGAAGATATTCATCCTATGTGAGTTCCAAGATGTTTTATTTCAAGAATGAAACAAGAGTCACAACCACGTTATTAAAATAACATTTACTTCAACGGTAACAGGATTAGTCCCAATTTTTTTTCTTTTTTGTCGCAGATTATAATGATGAAGTGAGCACTACCTATCATTGAGATTGCATTATAATGTAATTATAAACCGAATAATGTATTATACAACCGAAAACAGTTTGTTGCTATTTTACTATTAATTCTTGATCTATTCACTCAAGATACTTTAGTCTCAAGAAGAAATTGTTCGCAAAAAATTTGAGACATTTCCCGCGGAGTTATCGTAATTCATCTGTAATGATATTCATCTCCCTCTCGTTACAAATCATTTTTGAATTTCAACTCACTCGTTCATAAACCCTCACGATTGTTAAATGTCGAGTTTTATACCGCATTCATTGACTTTGCGTGTTTCAATACGTTGGGAACATTCATGTGCATGTGAGTAAACCAGTAGGTGAATTATAATAAATATTTAATTTAATCTTGTCATCTTCGTGGCCGTGATGGTGTATCCAATGTGGCATAGCGTGCAACTTTAACTAATTAATGATAAATAATGCTACTTCCCGAAGAAACAGGGTGTTAATTTTGAACATTTTAAAAATCTTTCCTGTAAATCTACGGAACCACACCAATTAGTAGGGAACTTCGAAGTTAGATTTACATTTATTATTAAACTTCGCTTTGAGCTAATGCTGGGTGGAAAACATGGCTACAATTTTAATATGATAGGGTATTTCTCATTAATTTCTAAATATCTCCACATTCACTTTTTGTCTTTTTTCACTTTCTTATAAATTATAAATATAAATTCTTCGTAATAAGAGAATGTTATGTAATCATGCGGTGTAAACGAAGTATTTTCGCCAGAAAATGTATTATAGCTGGTAATCAAAAAATGGATAACTCCTGTTGCTAAATTTGAGGAAATTCTTTAGCACTTCATGTAGTCAAACTCCACGTTTTGTTGGTTTTGATACCGAAAGTTTGATTGACTGCAAAACGTCCGTCTGAACTGTGTGTATCTGTGGTCATTGCTAGCGGTTAAACTTGCCAGTCTTTTTTTTCCAAAATTGTGATGTTGAAAATTATTAGAGATTCGAGAAACTTTATTTAAAATCATTGGAAGATTTTTATCCACAAATACAATAATTACATATACAAATAAACCGGGTGTTTTTATACCTGCTTTTACAATTTGTAACTTTTAAGCATTTCTCTACTTTCTTTTGCGATTTATAAAACGTATGTCACGTCATATCAATTGTTGAGTTTCTGTACATCTGTATGAACCGATTTAAGTAAATTAATATCATGTATCGACATGATATTTAAATTCATTATGAACACTAGCCGAGTAATCAAACTCCAAACTACCTGTTCAGAAATTATTATTACATTTTCGCCATACAAATTCTTCATAAGAAAAGAAAGTTCTAATCGTGCGCCAGAAAACATCGAAATTTTGTCAGATTAAACCTTATTGTCGCGTTCTGTAATTGAAAAGTGGATAAATCCTGTTGCTAAATTTAGAAAAAAATCTCTCGTGGTATAGACAGAATCCATGTTTTGTTTGTACTTCATACCGAAAAATCGATTGTCGCCAAATTGTCCGTCTGTGGTTAATAATAACGCCTAAACCGTTCAGCTGATTTTCTTGAAAATGGACATTTCCTGATTGATCTTAGCACACTAGAGGCTTTGGGAGTTTGTAACGGATTTGATTCTTGAAATTGTTTTACCGTCTGTAGTGGAAGCCAGCACGTTAACTCTGAGGATCTGAGTTCGAGCCTCGAAGCGGTAAAATAATTAGCTGATTGACAACACTTCTGTTGCTCATGTAGTGGTGTAATGTTTGCAAGGCTTTTAGAAACAATGAAAGCAAGTTTGTGCTTTGGTAGCACCACAAGTTTACTTCGTCACTTCGTACCGCTTCGTACCAGGGAGACCAGATAGGTCTCAATATTTTTTATTCAATTGATCATTCAAACTTGGCGCGAGAAACGAAGAGACGCCGCGATTTACTGACGGCCGAACGAGTAATTGATGCATCAACGGATTTGTGAACTACATTTTTGTAAGAATTTTATTTTTATTTTTTAATACACTTTCAAAATAGAACAATACACAATATCAGGTATTTGCATCTGAAGTGTCATTTATGTGTTATTAAACTACAAAGCAGCGAAAAGTAATTTTTTTCGAATATCAAGGATTTACGTCTACGGTTTAAAACGTATTTACTGTCGAATGATAGAGACTTTTGTTTCTATCATATTTTTCATTGCATACACTTGTTCTTTGGAATTTCCTACTATAAACTACTATAATTAAAGTAAAATTTAAATGTTCTAAATATATTAGTGTACGCACAACATTCAAGAATTCGCTTCTAGTACAAAAATATATTCAATAGGAAACGAGAGATATCTTTTTATCTTTTATTATAATTCTTATGACATATAACTGTTTCTGTGTAGACTTATTCTTTAACAAATGGAAATAACGTTTCAAGAATTTGGCTCTACAAAGGTGTATTTTCACGTCTTAAAAACAATGAAAAAACGAATGAATATTCGAATATGACGAATTCAATGTAGTTTTGAAACAATTGTATTAAAGCACTCGGACATGGTGTTTTTCGCAGTTTTAAGGTCTGAAAACGCGTAAAATAGATTATTAATAAAATGAAAAACATTGGTTTGTCTTTTTACTTTAGTTGCATTGCGGACTATGTGTAAATTCTTTCCGATAAGACCTTAGGGATGTAACATTGACAATAGATTGAAGAAAATCGGTTCCGTGAATGAGTATTTTTATGTTTCGACGATAATGAACAAGATCCAAACCATAGCTTTTCCTTGTGACACTTTTGGATCAGAACAGTCGGAAATGGTGGTTTTCGCAGTTTTGCAATCTCTAGTTTGCAGCACGCGTTTTATACTTCCATGGCAAATATATGGTTTTGTTGGTTCCTTAGTTGCAAACGCAGTTAATATCTGATGCTGTCTTTAGAGTGGTAAAGTTGATATTAGAATCAAGAATTTGGCTCTACTAAGGTGTTTTTTCTCGTTTAAACAATAGTGAAAAAGAGATGTAAGCCATTGAATTTCGTTTTGAAACAAGCACTCGGAAATACTATTTTTCGCAGATAGCCAAAAAACAGTTAAAAAATTTACTTACAACATAAATCTTTGATCCAAAGCTACAAATTCCTAATATTAATAAATTAACTTGAGTACAGCCTTGTATATTGGTCATAATTTAAAACACTCTGTTTACGAGTCCCGAGGTCTATATGCATAAACATTTTGGCATAATGTAACCTAACTTAACCTAACCTAACCTATCTCAATCTAACCTCGACTCACCTATTCTGATCCATCCTAATCTAAAAGGGAAGTCGATATCGAAAAGGCAAATCGATATTCGAAGTTAGTATTTAGGTTTAAGCCAGGTTTGGTAAGGATAGGTCAGGCAAGATAAGGTTAGGTTAGATTAGGTCAGGTTAGGTCCGGGTTGGTCTGGTTGGGTCACCTATTCTGACCTATCCTAATCTAACCCAAACAAATGTTACCTAGCTCTTTGACCTTACCTAATCTCACCCCAACTCACGTCGCTTAACATCTCTACTGACGTCACATCACACCTCGCACCTCATACCTCACACCCAACACCGCACACATCACACTTCACACCTTTAAAATCATACCTGACGACTCACACCACACACCTCACAACGCGCAACGTATTCCTCCCACGTCACAGCTGACACTTCATACCTCTCAACTCACACCTCACACATAGAACCTTATACTGTACACATCATACCTCCCCTGACTATTTGTGTAATAGTTAAACATTTTTAACTGAGCATTGAAGAGAATAAAAGAACAAATACCAATACGAACTCCTTCCTATGATATTAACACTCATTTTTGTTATGTTCTCATTTATGCTGGCCTCACCGATGTATAGGAAAACGAAACCGAAATGAAAATTACATATCGAAAAAAAAAAATTGATATCGAAATAGGAAATCGGTATCGAAGTGGAGAATTAATATTGAAATGGGAAATTAATATCGAATTGGGAAATTAAAATTGAAATAGGAAACCGTTATATAAATGGAAAATTAATATTGAAACAAGAAATTGATCTACAAATAAGAAAATAATATCGAAATAAACACTATGAATAATTAATATGAATATGGTAAACCGATATCGAATAGGGAACTCGACATCGAAAGGGCAAATCGATATCGAAATTGATATAAAAATTATTCACGATTCGGGAAATCGATATCGAAATGGCTAAAATTATATCGTAACAGGAAATTGATATCAGAAGGGATAGATATGGATACGAAAAAATTATATCAAAACGGCAATTAAGTATTAAAGTAACAAATCGAAATCGAAATGCGAAATCAAATACGAATTGTGGAAAGAAAATGAAAATGGAACAAATGAATAAAAAGTGTCTTGTTGTCATATT